GACGACGACGACGACAACGACGACGAAGACGACGACGACGGCGACGAAATAGGAGGGACGACGACGAGACGCCGACGACGGACGACGACGACGAGGGAGGAGGATAACGTCGAGGGAGGAGTGAAGACCAAGACGACGACGACAACGACGACGACGACGGCGACGAAATAGGAGGGACAACGACGAGACGCCGACGAAGACAACGAGGGAGGAAGGACGACCACGGCGACAACGACAACGGAAGCGACGACGACGCCAAGACGACGACGACGACGAGGAAAGACAGAAGACGATGACGGCGACGACGACGACGACGAGGGAGGAGGGAGGACGACGACGACGACGACGACGACGCAAGAGCGCGCGCGCACACTTTTGTTGAAATCCCGTTATGCGAAACCTTGTTTTTTTGTAGGTTTTTTGGACGCACGATTTTGAAATCCTTCCGAAACCGATGGGTTTGAAGGTTTTCGGCGTACGCCCGCGACGATGTGCGCGTCTGCACTTCGTGTTTTTTTTTTTGCAAAGGGTTCTCGCGACGGCACACGCGCAAGGGCGTTCGACAGGTTTCGACATGCGCGCGCGCGCGAAGCCCGTTTGGTAGCATTTTCTGGAACTCTTGGAAAACGATGGTTTTCTTAAGATTTCGCAAGGTCTTGCGCGTAAGTTTTTTTAGCAAACCAGCGTGTTGCGAAACCATGCGATTTTGTATGTTTTTTTGGAAATTCAATTTTGAAATATCTCCGGAACCGAAGGTTTTTAAACGATTTCGGCATGCGCGCGCGACGACGCGCGCGTGTGCACTTCGCCCCTTCTTTTTGCAAGGGATGCGTTAAGTCCGGGGGAGGGGGTAGAGTCGATTTTTTCTCTTTCTAGAAAGGAGAATCCATTTCTGTTCGCAGTGAGTTGTCCACTCCACTGCTCGCGCAAACATCCCACCCACCCACCCGCAACTTGGTTTGCAAAATCGCTTAAGACCGTGACGGTGGGTACCAAATGGCACTTGGCAACGACACCGACGACGACAGCGACAACGACGACGACGACGCCGCCGACAACGACTACGACGACACCGGCGACGTCTCCAACGACTTCGACGACGCCGACAACGACGGCGACGACGACACCGACACCGACGACGACGACGACGCCGATGCCGACGTCGACGACGACGACGACGATGACATCGACGACGACGATGACGACGCCGACGACGACGACAACGACGACACCGACGACGACGACGACGACGACGACGTCAATGACGCCGACGACGACGACGTCGACGACGACGACGGCGGCGACGACGACGCCGACGTCGACGACGACGACGACGACGCCGATGACGACGAAAACGACGACGACGTCGCCAACGAAGACGACGACGAGGGAGGAGGGAGGACGACGACGGCGACAACGACGACAACGACGAGGGAGGAACGAATACGGCGACGACGCGAACGACGAAAAAGGAGGAAGAACGGCGACGCCGACGACGACATCGACGAGGGAGGAGGGAAGACGACGACGACGACAACAACGACGACGACGACGACGACGGCGACGAAATAGGAGGGACGACGACGAGACGCCGACGACGGACGACGACGACGACGCGGGAGGAGGAGGAAGGAAGACCACGGCGACAACGACGACGGAAACGACCACGACGCCAAAGAGGACGACGACGACGAACATGAGGAAAGACAGAGGACGACGTAGGCGACGACGACGACGACGACGACGACGACGCGGGAGGAGGGAGGACGACGACGACGACGACGACGACGACGACGCAAGAGCGCGCGCGCACGCTTTTGTTGAATATCCGTGTTGCGAAACCTTTGGTTTTTGTAGGTTTTTGGACGCACGATTTTGACATCCTTCCGAAACCGATGGGTTTTGAAGGATTTCGGCATACGCGCTCGACGACGCGCGCGTCTGCAATTCGTTTCATTTTTTGCAGAAGGTTCCCGCGACGGCACACGCGCAAGGGCGTTCGACAGATTTCGACATGCGCGCGCGAAGCCAGTTTGATAGCATTTTGTGAAAATCTAGAAAAACCATGGTTGCCTTGAGATTTCGCAAGAGCTCGCGCGTAAGCTTTTTCAGCAAATCATTGTTGCGAAACCCTGTGTTTCTGTATGTTTGTTGGGGGAAGCTCGATTGCGAAATCCTTCCGACACCGAAGGTTTGTTTTGAAGGATTTCGGCATGCGCGCACGACGACGCGCGCGTGTGCACTTCGTCACATTTGTTGTAAGGGATTCGTGAACAAGTCTTATGTTAGAGCAAACAATGTCCCCGCGCATTGTTTTTTAGAAGGTAGCCTCATGGGTAGCGATACCGGCCCACCTGGGATAGTGCAAATCCATATTTAGGATGGACATGTGGTCGGAATCGTATATGATTCACATACCCGAAGGGGGGGGAATACGCCAGGGGGGGAGTAGAGTTTTTTTTTGGGAAGGAGAATCTATGTGGTGCCATGTGTATGGTGCAACCTACATGGTGCAAACTATGTGGTGCATTCCATGTGGTGCGAGCAACGTGGTGCAATCTATGTGGTGCGACCAATGTGGTGCAACCCGTGTGTTCTTTCCCCACCATCCATCTCCTCCTCCTCCTCCTCCTCCTCCCCGCCATCTTCCCCGAGCTGTCTGCCGCACTGCCCTGACATCCATGCCGCGTCCGCAGCGATTTCCGGCGCTTCCCCCCTCCCCCCGGGGGCGGGGGGGGCAAGGCACTGCGACCTCCAGACTTGCAATGTTCTCAACGATGGACGTGTCGAGGATAGCGTCAGACCAGTCCCCCCCCCCCGGTGGGGGGGGAACTCGCGCCAGCGCCGCCGAGATGGGCGGCGGCACTGCTAGATGATCCGCGAGCTAACGAGCGCCTGCGGTAAGTTAAAACTGGATGTGAGCATAGATGCATCTCAAGATGGCAACTTCACGCATGTTACGATGTACCAAAATAACATCATCATGCGTCGTAAGATGCATCATGCATTCATCTAAGGTGGAATTCAAATAGAGGAAGATACAGCATGATACAATTTCGCAGGAATGCACGCACGAATGCTCATGCCGTCCAGAAATCATTGCGCTTGCCGTCTAGAATGCATTGCGTATCTAAAATTACAGAGGCTGTTTCTGTTGAGGAGAACACCGTCCCACATGTTAAGCGCGCGGTTTTCGAACTGTGTTGCGGCGCGCGAAACCGACGAACACATGGCCGAAACAACAGCAGACGCGCCCGCTGCAGCGAGCACTGAACTACGCGCGCCAAACTTCAACGTAACAACGCAGCGGCAATCAATGCACTTGCGAGCGGACGGGGTCGGGCCTTTGTGCCCCCTGGTGCAGGCGGGGGGCACCGGGCCTTCAGGGTGACAAGCCCCCGCGCCCTGGGGACGGCCGCCATTTGCGCGGCCTTCCTTCCCCAGGGGTGTCACCAGGTCCCGTGGCCTCCCCCAGGGCGGTGCAGGATTCCCACCCTGCATTCGCCGCCCTGGAGCGGGACCGGCGGCTCGTCTTCGTCGTTGTCGTGCGTGTCGTGTCGTGTCGTGCGTCGTCGGTCGTGTCGCGTCCCCGTCCCCCCGTCGCTGTCGTGTCGTCCGTCGTTTTGGGTCCCGGCTCTTGGGTTTTTTTGCAAACGCGCCCTCGGCGACGCAGGTCTCCCGTGGGCCCCCCTCGGCCTCCCCGGCTGGGGCCTCACCCTCAGGGAGCCGTTGCCCGGGGTCCTCTCCCCCCACCTCCAGGGTGTGCGCGCCGGAGGCGCCCCGGGCTCGGGCGAACCGTCGCCCTTCGGTCAAACTTCACGGCTTGCAGGGGAAAAACCACGGGGCAGCCGCGGGGCAACCACGGGACAACCACGGGACAACCGCGGGACAAGTTGGGAGCCGCGGCCAGCGGACGGCGACCATTTTGGCGATAGATGGCCCGTATAATGGATGGAACTCGCGCGGCTTCGCCTCGCCCGCACGCACGACGAAGAAGACGGGGCTTTCCGCAAATTGGTTGGCGGGAGCGGGGTAGGCTGACCACGAGGGAGAGAAAGCCGCCGCGGTCGTGCGCTGTACAGTCGGTGCGTACTGGTAGGTCGACTCTTCAAAATCAAGGCTACCCAGACCCAGATGCCCTCCTGATCCCAGACCCCCGGCAAGTTTTTTCATCGTTTCCGCCGTCCGTGAGCTGTTTCCGGGCCGCAGGACCGTCAAAAGCAAGCCAGGATGAAAAAACGATGTCCGTGAAGCCTTTCGATTTTTCGTATACCACGGACATGTGTTCTATGTGTAGAAAAAAACATTTACGATGCGATTCGGGTCGCCCCCCTTCGTTTTCGGTGGGGAAGGGCTCTGAACGTTGACACCCCTAAGAAAACGAGTCTTGTTGAAAGGGGCCCAGAGAGCCGACGCTGCTATGTGAAGTTTGCAATATGAAGGAAGAGTGTCGGCCCCCCAGCGATGCCAATCGTGTGCGTGTGTGTGTGTGTGTGTGTGTGTGTGCGTGCGTGCGTGCGTGCGTGCGTGCGTGCGTGTGTGTGTGTGTGTTCAACCCTTCAATCGAGACGAACCCGTTGACGCCCTCAGATGTTTCAAGGCGATGGGTGCCAAACTTGCCCTCAAACCCACGGCCTTCAGCAACAATGGTTCATGCTTGGTATGTCCTCCCAATTCCGACCATCTGACCTACAGTTGGGGCGCGTGCCAAGAAGCCATTTGGATTGTGCCAGGGTGCCATAGGTTTCTTGGGGTTCGTTTGATTTTCCGGAAAAAAACAACAACATATTTTCGATTGAAAACATTGGATGTTCAGTGAAGAACCGCGGATTTCATGATTGGGTTTCTTGCGGAGGGTTTCTTGTGGCCGAGTCCCCGCTGTATGGTGTTTCACGTTTTTCCTTCCTCATGACTCTGCTGCTGTTCGTGCGGTTCTTCTTTCTTTGTGCATCCGTCCATCCGTCCGTGTTCTCCACGTCTTCCTTCTTGTTCCCTTATTGCTAGAATGGGGTGCGAACGAAGTGGGAGAAGGTCGGGATAAGGGACACTTGGTACGCATGCGACTACACGCGAACAAGTCAGGGCGATCGTTGCGATGATGTTTGTTGTCTTTGCAGATTTTTACGCTTGGCCGTTGCCTTGACAATCTTCATTCAGGCAATCGAGTTCTGTCAAGTTCAAGGTTCCTGAGCAAACTGTGTATATAGCTGCTCTAAATGTTGGGTTTCACATTACTTTCCGACGTGATTCCGTAGTTCAGTATGTCAGGCGAAGCGGTTTTGATTCCACATGTTGTCTTCATCCGCAGATCTTGTTTCATATCAGCCAGCGCAACATCTGAATGTCTTTTGAAGGTTACCAGCGTTGGTGCATTGGCGCATGGGCCTGCCGAGCTGGTGGTGCTGCATCTGCCGTTCTCAGTGCCGCATCAGCGTGTGCAATGTACCTCGAGCTTTCATTCACGGACGCACTGCAGTTGAATCCGTTCTCCGTTCAGATTCTGGATAAGCATACGCGCGTTCAGGATGAATTGCAGCCGCTGGATCAGCAGGACGTACGTGTGTATGAACGACGATATTTGAAGAAACGTCCTGTCACATTTACACAACTTATCGCTTACGACGCTGGTTTATATTTGGGGCCTCCCAACTCTGTCCTTGCAGCGCAGCGGTCATTACAGAATGGTGCGACCAGTCTAGGAGTCGATTTGAGCTTCACGCAAGATGATAAGCTTGTTGGTGCCCACAGTTCGACTGAATGGATTGCAAATAGTAGGTTTCCAAAGCGGGCGCAAGATTTGATGGACATTCGTTTTGAACAGGCGGAGTTATCACCAACGTGTGAAACGTTTGAACAATTCTTCTTGTCAATTGGAGTACCGTCTTCGGAAATGGTTGGCCTTCAGGCTTGCGAACGCCAAAGACTTAGTACGGCTGAAGATTTCTTTGATGCCTTTCCAGGCATCCCTATCATCTTTGATTTGAAAGCAAGTTCTTGGGAAATGCAGCGGAGACAGGCTACTATTATGTACGAGTTGTTATATCGAAGTTATCCAGAGCGATGTGCAGATGATACGCTTACTTCATTACGGGTGTTTGCTTTTCCAAATCAGACCAATCCCGCAGATTATCCATCTGCTTGCGGCAAGTCCCGCCACCGTGCCAGCTCAACACTTTCGGTGGCGACGGTTCGGGGGGCGTGGGAGGCCGTCACGTGTCACACATCGGGTTTCTTGAAGGCCGGGGCTCCTGCCGAGTGATTGTTGGGAGCCTCTCGGGGGCCGCTCGCGGCTTCTGGGCTGCGTCTTGGGGGTGCCTCGGAGGCTCTTGGGTCGTCTGGGTGCTTTCTGAGTCCGTCTTGGGGGGCTCTCTGGGTCGTCTTGGGGCCTTCTTGGGGGCCTCGAGGGCCGCCTGAGGGCCGAGTTGGGGTTCTCCAGGATCGATCTTGGGCCATCTTGGAATTGTCTTGGGCGGTATTTGGGCCCTCTTGAAGATCTCGCGGGCCCGTATTGAGGCCATCTTGGAGGCATTTGGGCCCCTTTTGAAACGACGGAAGCCCGAAACGGCGAGAATGGGAAAATCAATCAAACACCCAGGGTAAATACATGATTTTGGCTTCTTCGGGTCCCGCTGGAGGTTATCTTGGAGCCCATTGTGGCCGTCTTCAGGGCAATTTGGACAGTTTTGAAGCCATCTTGGGCTGTCTTGCTGTGGCCATTCTGGGCTGTCATGCAGGCATCTTGGGCCGTCTTGGCGGCATTGGTAGATTGCTGGGGCCGTCTTGGAAGTCAGGGCATCTGGGACGCCTTGGTGAGCGCCAGGGACGCGTCGGGCCGGGCTGACCAGGGAGCTTGCATGCAGCTGAGTGCGGGTAGAGGGGTGGGGGTCACTTATAATATTACAGAGACCTTACCAGCAGCACATGGCATTCTACCACGCCTCAACGTGACAGGGGGCACGGTTTTGGATTTTGAAAATTTGTTCGGGTCTTCAACGTTGCCTTTCACATTCAGTCTCGGGGTACCCGCGCACGGGGGGGGGGGGAAGCGAAACAATATTGAGACGCTCAGTCGCAGTCTCACAAGCAGTACAGCCTCTCAGAACGGGAAACTTCAAATATCGCCAACGTTTCGCGGCACCACGTCCAGACAGACGGGGCCCTGGCGGGCTAACCAGCGTCGTTACCGCACGTATATTCCATTGCGCTCTGGGAATTTGTTCAGCTGGTAACTTTCGTTCATCGTGGTCAAAGCATTCGTTGCCTCTGGAAGTTGCGCTCCTTATTGGGAGCCGCTTGGTCACTGCCGTTGGCCGTCACACCGCATGTCCCAAAACGCATGGTGTGAGGTCACGAAGGCGGGCCTTCTTCAAAGTGTTGAGCGTCGACCTGTTCGCGATGCCTCGGGGGCGTCACGGATAGAGGTTGGGAGGAGGGAGGAACAGGAAGCAGCGAAGAGGGGATTGGGAGAAGGCAGGAAGGGGCATTTAGGTGGAGTGGGACGCAGACACGCGGAAGACAGTACATCGGATAACACACACACATGAGTTGGTCGTTCGTGACATATCAATGCAGAAGGTTGGTAGTGGGCGAGGCAAGCGGATGGCGAATGTGTATCTTGTTTCTCCGCCAGATGCGTCTTGTTTTTTCCCGGAAAGGGCGCGGGCCCAGGGTTCTCTTTTAGCCGTTTACCCCCGGATCTGACGGGTCAAGCGCCGGCGAAATTATTTGCGATAAATAACGAGGTAAAGTGCTGATTTTTTTAGAAAAAGTGCGTTTTGTGCGTGCCCGCTCGAGGAAAGTTCGCCCCCCATCTCGGATCCTCGATAAATAACGGGGTCCGCAGACCCCCGCTTTCCCTCGTAAAAAAGAGGGTGCGGAGCGTTTTTCGCAGAATCCTCGAAAAATAACGGGGTCTGGAGCCCCGACCGCGACTCGGAAAAGCGCCCCGCGCGCAGGAATTCCGAGGATGTCTCGCGCGTGCCGCGTCCCGCGCGCAGGAATTTCGAGGATGTCTCGACTAATTCGCTTGTTTTGTCAGGATTTCTTAGAACTTTGGCAGGATGTCTCGAGCGAAACGCTTATTTTACATAGTTGTGGAGGATGTCTCGAGCGAAACGCTGGTTTTCGCAAAATTTGGAGATGTCTCGAGCGGGGGGCCAGAATTCAGAGGATGTCTCAGGCGAAATGCTTGTTTTCGTGTCCCGCTCGCGGGAATTCCAAGGATGTCTCGCGCGGGCCGCGTCCCGCGCGCAGGAATTTCGAGGATGTCTCGACTAATTCGTTTGTTTTGTCAGGATTTCTTAGAATTTTGACCGGATGTCTCGAGCGAAACGCTTGTTTTTCATAATTTGTTGAGGATGTCTCGAGCGAAACGCTGGTTTCTGCAAACTTGGGGATGTCTCGAGCGGGGGCCTCGTGGGGGGCCAGAATTCAGAGGATGTCTCAGGCGAAATGCTTGTTTTCACGTCCCGCTCGCAGGAATTCGGAAGATGTCTCGCGCGTGCCACGTCCCGCGCGCAGGAATTTTGAGGATGTCCCGTAGCGCGTCCCCTTGGCACGGCCTACGGTGCGACCCCATGGCACGTCCCTTGGCACGTCGCCTGGCGCGTCCCTGGGGACGTTTCGCGGCGCGTCCTCCTGGCATGTCCCCCTGTCAATTAGCTCTGGGGCAGCTACTATGTGTTCAGGAAGCTCGAGCTTCAGATCCAGATCAGTTCGGTCAGGACTTGGATGCAAAGGAAGACTCGCGCGCAGGAATTCCGAGGATGTCTCGCGCGTGCCGCGTCCAGCGCGCAGGAATTTCGAGGATGTCTCGACTAATTCGCTAGGTTTTGCAGGATTTTCCGTAGGAGGGCCAAGGAGAGGCCCCGAAGGCTCTGGGAGCGGCGACGACGACGACGACGACGACGACGACGACGACGTCTCTTGGGGTTCTCTTGGACGGTTTGTAGAGTCCACGCTTACATGATCGACGGGTCGAGGACAGCGCGACGACGACGACGTCGCGGTGGCGGCGGCGTCCACCACGACGACAAAGTCTCATCTTAGAGCCTTGCGTGGGGGGGTCTCTTGGGGTTCTCTTGGAGGGTCTCTGGAGGGTCTGTAGAGCCCACGCTTACACGATCGAGGGATCGAGGACAGTTTTTCAGAATTTGTTGAGGATGTCTCGAGCGAAACACTTGTTTTGTGTTATATATTGTCCTCTCCTGGGGAACTGAATTCTGAGGATCTCTCAAGTGGATTGCTTGTTTTCACGTGCCCAGGTCTTGCGGATGTCTCGGGCGAGGCGCTTGGTTTCACGCCTCCAGGTGGCCCAGACAGATGTCTAGCATGAGGATTTGTTGAGGATGTCTCGAACCAGAGGCTTGTTTTCACGTGTCCAGGTCGCCCAGGCGGATGTCTAGCATGAGCGTTTGTTGAGGATGTCTCGAGCGAGACGCTTGTTTGCACGTGTCCAGGTTGCCCAGGCGGATTTCTAGCATGAGGATGTGCTGACAACGTCTTGAGCGAAACGCGTGTTTTCACGTGTCCAGGTCGCCCAGGCACAGCACAGCCCTCGGCGCGGTACATCAATATCGATACCCTTAGCATTGCAGCCTGGCATGTTGCCTGGCACGGTCCGCGGAGCGTCCCGTGGCGAGTCCCCCTGGCACGTCGCGCGGTGCACGTCCATTGGCACGTTCCGTAGCGCGTCCCCTTGGCACGTCCCGCGGTGCGTGCCCATGGCACGTCCCCTGGCACGTCGCCTGGCGCGTCCCTTGGGACGTTCCGCGGCGCGTCCTCCTGGCATGTTCCCTCTGTCGATTAGTTCTGGGGCAGCTACCATCTGCTCAGGCAGCTCGAGCTTAACGATCCAGATCAGTTCGGTCAGGACTCGGATGCCAGGGAGGACTCGATCCACAACGCTATATAGAGCACAATCGCGGCATGGCACATCGCAGTTCAGCACGGCCCAGCACAGCACAGCCGTCGGCACGGTACATCAAGATCGATACACTCAACTATGCACCTTGGCACGTTCCGTGGCGCGCCCCGTGGCGAGTTCCCCTGGCACGTCGCGTGGCGCGTCCCCTGGCACATCCCGTGGCACATCCATTGGCAGGTTCCGTAGCGCGTCCCCTTGGCACGTCCCGCGGTGCGCCCCCATGGCACGTCCCCTGGCACGTCGTCTGGCGCGTCCCTTGGGACGTTCCGCGGCGCATCCTCCTGGCATGTCCCCTCTGTCGATTAGTTCTGGGGCAGCTACCATCTGCTCAGGCAGCTCGAGCTTAAGATCCAGATCAGTTCGGTCAGGACTCGGATGCCAGGGAGGACTCGATCCACAACGCTATATAGAGCACAATCGCGGCATGGCACATCTCAGTTCAGCACGGCGTAGCACAGCACAGCTATCGGCACAGTACATCAAGATCGATACATTCAGCATTACATTTGCCCGTCGCCCAATCAGGTGCCTTTGAAACGTTGCCATGCCTTACATTTCTATATTCCTTTCCGGGTTCGTGGGTCGATCATGTTCCCGGAAAGGGCTCCGTCCCATGTTTTTTCCCGGAAAGGGCGCGGGCCCAGGGTTCTCTTTTAGCCGTTTACCCCCGGATCTGACGGGTCAAGCGCCGGCGAAATTATTTGCGATAAATAACGAGGTAAAGTGCTGATTTTTTTAGAAAAAGTGCGTTTTGTGCGTGCCCGCTCGAGGAAAGTTCGCCCCCCATCTCGGATCCTCGATAAATAACGGGGTCCGCAGACCCCCGCTTTCCCTCGTAAAAAAGAGGGTGCGGAGCGTTTTTCGCAGAATCCTCGAAAAATAACGGGGTCTGGAGCCCCGACCGCGACTCGGAAAAGCGCCCCGCGCGCAGGAATTCCGAGGATGTCTCGCGCGTGCCGCGTCCCGCGCGCAGGAATTTCGAGGATGTCTCGACTAATTCGCTTGTTTTGTCAGGATTTCTTAGAACTTTGGCAGGATGTCTCGAGCGAAACGCTTATTTTACATAGTTTGTGGAGGATGTCTCGAGCGAAACGCTGGTTTTCGCAAAATTTGGAGATGTCTCGAGCGGGGGGCCAGAATTCAGTTTTCGTGTCCCGCTCGCGGGAATTCCAAGGATGTCTCGCGCGGGCCGCGTCCCGCGCGCAGGAATTTCGAGGATGTCTCGACTAATTCGTTTGTTTTGTCAGGATTTCTTAGAATTTTGACCGGATGTCTCGAGCGAAACGCTTGTTTTTCATAATTTGTTGAGGATGTCTCGAGCGAAACGCTGGTTTCTGCAAACTTGGGGATGTCTCGAGCGGGGGCCTCGTGGGGGGCCAGAATTCAGAGGATGTCTCAGGCGAAATGCTTGTTTTCACGTCCCGCTCGCAGGAATTCGGAAGATGTCTCGCGCGTGCCACGTCCCGCGCGCAGGAATTTTGAGGATGTCCCGTAGCGCGTCCCCTTGGCACGGCCTACGGTGCGACCCCATGGCACGTCCCTTGGCACGTCGCCTGGCGCGTCCCTGGGGACGTTTCGCGGCGCGTCCTCCTGGCATGTTTTTTTCCCGGAAAGGGCGCGGGCCCAGGGTTCTCTTTTAGTAGGTTAACCCCCCGGCCCCCCTGCGACTTGGGCCGGCGAAATGATTCTGCGATAATTTACGTGCGGGAGTAGGGCTGGCGAATTAAGATTTTGAGGATGTCTCGAGCGAAACGCTTGTTTTTCAGAATTTGTTGAGGATGTCTCGAGCGAGACGCTGGTTTTGCAGAGTTGGGGATGTCTCGAGCGAAACGCTTGGTTTCAGAATTTGTTGAGGATGTCTCGAGCGACACGCTGGTTTTGCAGAGCCGACCGCGACACGGAAAAGCGCCCCTCGCGCAGGAATTCCAAGGATGTCTCGCGCGTGCCGCGTCCCGCGCGCGGGTATTTGGATTTCTTGGGATTTTGACAGGATGTCTCGAGCGAAACGCTTGTTTTTCATAATTTGTTGAGGATATCTCGAGCAAAACGCTGGTTTTGCAAAATTGGAGGATGTCTCGAGCGGTGGCCTCGTGGGGGGCCAGAATTCAAAGGATGTCTCAGGCGAAATGCTTGTTTTCACGTCCCGCTCGCAGGAATTCCGAGGATGTCTCGCGCGTGCAGCGTCCCGCGCGTAG